GTGCTAAGAGGCTCGCCACCTCCGCGGAGGTCTCTAGAGCAGCAGTTTCGGTTGTTCCCTGCCGGTTTGCCGTTACAGGGCACTGAGCTGGCTGCTCGCATTACACCAGAGATCAGTCTTGAGAGACTGATTCCCTTAGTAGACTTTTTGGCAGCGTGGAAACTACTGTCAAATGTGTCTCAGTGGGTCCTGCACACTGTAGAAAGGGGCTACAGAATCCAGTTTGGTTCTCCTCCGCCTCGTTTCAACAGGATTACGCCCACGCTGGTGGGCCCCGAGCAGGCTCTGGTCATGGAACAAGAAGTAGTCACTCTTTTGAGGAAGGAGGCCATCGAGGTGGTCCCTCCTCATGCAAGGCAGTCCGGGTTCTACAGCCGGTTCTTCACAGTTCCGAAGAAGGTCCTGACGCCACTGGCCAAGGACTTATGAGGGCAGTCCCCTCTGGGGTGCAGCGGGTTACACCGCATTACATGGTGTCCGTCTCGCCTCAGTGCCCTCAGGAGATCGGCTGCTAACCCTGCCGGAGTTACAGGGCACAGCGGTCTCCCGCGAGCGCCACTCTCAGTAACCGCCCGGCAACGTAGCGGGGCTAAGAGGCTCACCACCCCCGCAGAGGTCTCTAGAGCAGCAGGTTCAGTTGTTCCCTGCCGGTTCGCCGTTACAGGGCACCGAGCTGGCTGCTCGTATTAAACAAGAGATCAGTCTCGAGAGACTGATTCCCTTAGTAGACTTTTTGGCAGCGTGGAAACTACTGCCAAATGTGTCTCAGTGGGTCCTGCACACTGTAGAGAGAGGCTACAGAATTCAGTTTGGTTCTCCCCGCCTCATTTCAACGGGATTACGCCCACGCTGGTGGGCCCCAAGCAGGCTCTGGTCATGGAACAAGAAGTAGTTACTCTTTTGAGGAAGGAGGCCATCGAGGTGGTCCCTCCTCATGCGAGGTAGTCTGGGTTCTACAGCCGGTACTTCATAGCTCCGAAGAAGGATGGGGGGTTGCGTCCCATTTTAGATCTACGTCATAT